GCATGTGACTATTGAGCTCCAAAATTTCATATTTGTATGTATGATATCGACTATAATGAAATATATCAACTTTATAAGGTAGAATAAATGCACAAAAATCTACCTGTGCGTTTCTTGTTTTGGAGAGTGTATCTTTAGTAGATATACGTACCTGTAAATGAATGATTGACATCTGCTGTGCCATGACCGGTAGGGTCAAAGGTCAGGCCATCACCTACAGTTCCTCCAATCCTCAGATAACATGGAGACAAGCCTTTAGCCAGTGCCTGGACTTTCTGAGATCTGAAGGTAAACAATAGCTTGATAAAAGCACATACTTAATTGCTAGGTGAGCAAGTAATATATGTATTTCTTCGCGTGAAGAAAAAAACATAAAGTTGAAGTACCAAAAATCTAAAAGGATAACTGACAACGTATCATACAAGAGAAATGACAGCCTATGTTTACATATAATATTTTTGTTCTGTGATAAACGGTCTGGATATCATCGTTATTACCAATGTTGTATAGGGGGTGGTCGGGTAGCCTCGTGGTCACGACGAAGACCCGTGTTCGATTTTCGACATTCGACATGGGTACAATGTGTGAGGCCCATTTCTGGTGTCCCCCGCCGTAATATTGCTGGAATATTGCTAAAAGCGCCTAAAAAACCTAATCACTCACTCACTCACTAATGTGTATATAAATCTATTATGCAAATTTGAACTTGTCTGTTTCATCTCAATGTTGTTCATGAATTAAGACTATGAATATGATGTATCCAGAACTCAACTGAAAGAATGTCCAGAATACAAATGATTAATTTCATATGAGAGGTATCCACAATAATTTGATATCTATTGACCTCCATAGCGATCACCTTGGCCGACTTACGTGAAGTCCAGTCCTCCCCAGTGTTGTGGGGTCGGCAAGAGATGAGAGTCAAGTGTGACGCCCACAAATAGTTCATCAATAAATGACACTGCTTGTGTTGTGGACACCGTGACACTGACATTGACTGCTCCCGATGATGTGGAGGACATGAAGGTGGTGACCAGGAGGAGCGCTGACAGTGTTACCTTCATTGTCTCTGGCTTGTCTTATCTGACCGAATGTCACACATAGTCTATATTCATCTGAGGTGGTCTCATATAGACTGTGTTGTGTCGTTATTGAGGCATATCGTGTTGTGTCAAAATAAATACCAATTATGTTGTGTCGTCATTGATACATATTCTGTTGTGAGGTCATAATTACATATCGTGTTGTGTCGTCATTGATACATTGTGTATTGTGTCGTCATTGATACATATAGTCAAGTCCCGTTAATCCGACATGTTTGGTTGCATGTGATGATGTCGGATAAACGAAATTAAGTTGTATCAGCGTTCGTGATCGAAAATCGAACAACTTCACGATAGATAACGATACAAACACATTGTAATAGAAAATGAAAAATGAAATATTCACATTGTTTGTCACATCAACCTCTAAAGCTGAACACAAAACTACGGTTTGACTGATTCAACATATCTTAAAAAGCAAAGTCTGGAATGGAAGTCGCCAGTTTGAAACTAGTGCCGCGAAGCTTGTATTGTGTTGTGTCGTCATTGATACATATTCTGTTGTGAGGTCATAAATACCTATCGTGTTGTGTCGTCATTGATACATATTCTGTTGTGAGGTCATAAATACCTATCGTGTTGTGTCGTCTTTGATACATATTCTGTTGTGAGGTCATAAATACATATCGTGTTGTGTCGTCATTGATACATATTCTGTTATGAGGTCATAAATACCTATCGTGTTGTGTCGTCATTGATACATATTCTGTTGTGAGGTTATAAATACATATCGTGTTGTGTCGTCATTGATACATTTTGTGTTGTGAGGTCATAAATACATATCGTGTTGTGTCGTCATTGATACATTTTGTGTTGTGTCATCATAAATACATATCGTGTTGTGTCGTCATTGATACATTTTGTGTTGTGTCGTCATAAATACATATCATGTTGTGTTATTATTGATATATATTGTGTTGTGTCTATATCAATACATATTGTGTGTGTTCCGTTATGAAACATATTGTGTCCGTGTCGACAACAAATATATTGTAGAAATTGAAGTCCATACGAATTAGCATAGTTAGTGGCATCGTTGCTTGGAAACACCTTTTTGACCGACCAATGAAATGACTGACAAGAAATCGACATTAGCCAATCAGAAGGCAGCTTTCTTGAACTTTACCACACTAGTTTCAAACTGGCGACTACGCTTCGAAACATATTTTGACGTATTCTCGATTAAAAAAATTAAAACTGATAAGACGAAAACTCTGGAATGGCTTATAGATGGCCTACATTGTATGGATATAATCATAAACCCCGTAACTGTCGTTCGGAATACCCCGTGTCAAATAATTCATGATTAGAAAACACGTCCCGACAGTCACTTTCATGATGTGGTAAGCGACACTCTGATTGGTCGGATGAAAGGTCGTTCTGACGTGACCCCTAATGGGATGTCCTCAGATCTTTGTTTAGCGGTAGCGAGTATAAAGATTTGATTTTAATGAGATTGATACGCCCCTTATATTACACGGAACAAGGCTATGAACTAAATGCAGTAATGTTTCTCTAGAGCAGAATTCAAGCAACAGCTTTGTATAATAGGATATGAAAGGATAAAATAGGTTTCTTGCATGATTGCTTATTGTGTGGATGAGGGTTTTATTGTCGCAAATGGATTGTCCAGATGCGCGTTTGTGTCTTAATGTTCACCATCATTTATGGATTGCAATCTTATAATTAAGTTATCAACACTAATGCTAAAAGCTGAAACATAGTAAACCTTGTTTGGACATAACACACTCAATTAGTGATTAAATATGGAATTCTATGTTCTAATCTCAATATTTTATTCAATATTCCATGCCATATGACCCACTGTACAGTTTGTCTTACATGCGTGTTGGACACGTGGACTTATTAAACATTTTCATCTTATAGAAATGTATTAAGCACATAGCACTGGATTTAATGCATCGATGTTTTCTGAATTGAGGAGATATGTCATCAATTCATTATCCTTATGCTCATTCAGGTTTTGGTTGGTTTGTTGTTTAAACTCAGCAATATTCCAGCTATATGACAGCGGGTTGCTAATAATCGAATCTGGACCAGAAAATCCAGTGATTTATATCATGAGCATCGATCAACGCAATTGGGATCGATGACATCAACCAAGGCAGCGAGCCTGACAACCTGATCCCGTTGGTCGCCTCTTACGACAAGCATACTCGCCTTTTATGGCAAGCATGGGTTGCTGAAGGTCTATTTTACCCCGGATCTTCACGGGTCATAAAATTCAGGAAGATGTGTTAGCGTGTATAAGGGTATTGTTTGATACTGTTACGAGCCCTCCCACGTTCGCCTCGGACTTCCTGATTTATGCATTTCCTTAAAATGATGTAAGTGTCTGTGACGTAAAGATCTTCGAAGCTAAACGTAACAAGCAACTAATAATATGAGGTTAATTTCTTAATTGTCAAGAATCATGTCGTATTATCTATATGTAGCGATCAGACTTAGAAACCCGGTTGGGGGGCACGGGTGGCACAGTCGTCTGAGGCGCCGCGATTCGCTGTGCAGAGTTGTGTCCCTTGGACATGCCAAAAACCTATGATTGTGGGTTCGAATCCCGGTTCGCCCCGATCATGTTTCTAGGTTTGTCAGCACCAAACCCGTGCTCGTGGGTTCACCGAAGGGGTAAACGTCTGAGACCTGCATCACTTCGGGCTTTCCTCCTACATTAAGCTGACACGCCGCGATATAACTGGAATACTGTTAAAAGCGGCGTTAAACCCAACTCACTCACCCACTAGAAACCCGGTTGGTTGGCCTGTCTCTACAGATATCATGACGTCATACATTGATGTCACTTGCTTGTCAAATTACAACTGACACTCTTCATACTATGAGTAACATATATAAATGGTGTATATGATGGTAGTTGCATGATATATCTTATTTTGACACACAAATATTTCACCGTCGGGTTTTGATGCTAAATACTCAGGCAGGGCTGAGACCTTGATTGTACGATCTCAAATATTATCCAATTAATTAATGTACTATTTCACAAACGTTCTAAAATTTTATTTACCAATCAAACTCTCTATTGGAGGATGGTGAGTGAGTGAGTGAGTGAGTGAGTGAGTATGGTTTTACGCCGCTTTTAGCAATATTCCAGCAATATTACGGCGGGGGACACCAGAAATGGGCTTCACACATTGTACCCATGTCGGGAATCGAACCCATGTTTGATTAAATTCACAAGTTTTAATCCGTGAAAATAACAACAGTTAAGCGGATTAAGAATCAAAGGATATCGCACTGGGACGTGTAAATAGTTTGGGTCAACAGGTCGACGTCCGGCGAATGCCCCGTTAAGTTGCAGTTTGGCGTCTATACGTATATCATGAGGCGGATAATTCATTTTTAAATGGTTCTGTAGATTATTAGTGAGTTATTTATTATAATCACATTATAACAAGTAAAACGTAATTATACTAATGTTTGTCATTCTCTCTGCAGACAAGAGTCACAGGAAAGCTCGTGGGTTCATTATTTTAAATCGTAGGCTAATTATTAATTATATAACTTTTATTCTTATCTTTCAAAAGAAAACACAAACCTAAATTCAACTTGACACATGTTTTTACATAATTGTTAAACTTCCTCCTACAGACATATTGTTAGTTATTAATTAATTCAACGCAGATCTGCACCCCCAATCCATGTCTTAACAGACAACTAAAATAGCAACTCTGACATATTAAACATCGTGCTACCTGCTTTGTAATTTAATACCAACTCGACGATAAAAGGTTCACATGGATTTATCTCAAACGTTGCATAAAGCCATCCAACTGTGCTCTAGATAGAAGCCGGTGTATCTGCAAAGAGAAGTTGCTTGTGTGCTTCGTGACTGCAATATGAAAAGACGAGAGTTGTCATTATATTATTAAGTGAACCTTTACGCACTTCCTTTTTCTACATCTCAACCAATGAGAATTGTTCAGCCATTTTCAATAGGATGTATAAAGGATACACACGGTAATATATACTTGTGTGCTATTAATACGTTCTTTTGAAATCCGTGTCCTTGCGTCAGTTCATGTTCAACAGGTTGTGTGGAGACTATACATAGCGTCACGATTCTTTTCCTATAAGTACTGCCACCCACCAGTGGATACACATATGCCTTTACGACATCGAAACATCACAACCATTTGGACAATGACAGCTGCGTGGAGTCTCCTGGTGCTGATCTTGTGTGTGGGGCTGGTCACAAGCTCTGTGCTGCCTGATAATGTGGAACAAGTTGCACAGAGCCATCATCGAGGTGAGTCAAATGATCCAGATACGACGCCCTTCAGCGCGGTTAAATCTACAAGTAACCCAGTTCTATACTGAAAACACATTGTGTTTATGATGATAACATGAAACCTGAACTCTTTGGTATTATCGGGGGCACGGTAGGCCCAGTCGTCTAAGGCGCCGCGATTCGCTGTGCAGAGTTGCGTCCCTTGGGCACGCCAGAAACCTATGATTGTGGGTTCGAATCCCGGTTCGCCCCGATTATGTTTCTAGGTTTGTCAGCACCATACCCGTGCTCGTGGGTTTCACCGAGGTGGTAAACGTCTAAAAACCTGCATCACTTCGGGCTTTCCTCCCACATTAAGCTGATACGCCGCGATAAGACTGGAATACTGTTAAAAGCGGCGTTAGGCCAAACTCACTCACTCACTTTGGTATTATCAATGATATGAGTGAATGGGTTGTGTTCAATGTTGAAGTTGGCTGTTGCTCTGAATTAATGAACCACCGACAATAGACTTTAGACAAAGTACGAAGCTGTATGCATTCGAATTTAGATGTAAAAATCTAACACTGAGAGTGTGCAGCACAGCTACTTCATAAGCTAACATAAAGTGTACACCCAGCAAGTAGACAATATATGGTGCGGTATCTGCTCAAACACAGCGTTTCTTAAATCTTGACGCTTTATTCGCATATGTGATTCGCAAAAGACACGAGTCACAGTCGGAGGTAGATTTTTTCATCCCAAACTGGCTCCCACAGGAGATATTGCTTGGGTGAGATCAAGCGATATCTACACTGTAGATATCGCTAAATGAAATTGCATCACAATGCTTTGTAGACAATGGTAAGGTCATTGGTTACCATGACGTCACAATCACATGACATCACCAATGGCTCTGCTACTGAAGCTGCTAGCAGTACGTTTTACAATGAACACTCAACTGTTTACAAACTGTAAAAGTTGGAAGAATGATGTTGGATGATAAATAAAAACTCACCCTTATGTCTTTTGATATCAAATATATCAACACTCATTGATATGTTTGATATCAAAAGACCTTCGGGTGAGATTGGTGTGTGTGTGGGGGGTGGGGTGGGGGGGTGGGGGGGTGGGGGGTGGGGGGGGGTGTGTGTGTGTGTTGGAGTGTGCAGTTTGAAACATGTAATTTGGCATAATTGATAAATACATAAATGCTACTGAGCTCATGCTGAAACAAGGGGACTTCAGCCCATTCAGCAGAAACCTCTTTTCCATTGGGCGTGAAAGGCAACAAACTAGCGGTGAACATTATATGTTGACAGCAGGTGTTCGCGAAAAGGGTACGCATACCTTGCTCCACCAGTAGCACCAGCCACTCAAATAATTTGCATAAAAAATAAGTGTATGTTTGTTGCCTGAGGCAGAAATCCTGCCATTCGAAAGCAGCCTGCACACAATCGAATTTTGACCAGGCAGTCCAGTGATAGTGATTAGACGATCTAATGACACGCTACCACGTTGGCTGATTTTATTAAAACGAAACACCAAAATATGTTAGTTTCGAATCACGTTTGCTGCGTACAAATGCAGAGATTCTACTACTTAGAAAAGAGAGACAAATTTAAGAAATATATTCGTTTTGCAACAAAGGTTTCAATAACTCAGCTTGCCTTAAAACTTGAAATACACTCTCTTTGTCGATTTCTACGATATTTTCTGACCAAAGCATTTGCTATTAATATTAGCTTCCGGTGTGATGCGGTCATCAAATCAGCTGTAACAATTATAAGTGTTTATTTTTATTTGAAACCCCTGATTGATCAGTCAGAATCATGTGTTTTCCAACTCCATGGTAAGCTTTGTACCAGACCCCAAAAATTGTACAATTTTAACTTCTTTGGTAACATGATTACACGATACGTGGTTCCACTGGACACGGGGCACAATTATCTCAGAACAAATTATCAATCATCTAGTATCGGCTTAAATCGGAGGTATATCGTTAATAAAAAAATGCAATACATTATTTAGGCTGTAGAAAACAAATAGGTAACAAACGGGTTGGTATTATGTTTACGTGGGTTAGTGTTGGGTGTGTTCCTACATGTAGTTAAAACCAGAATACTCCCAAAATATATTTTCGTTCAATATCTTTTAATAACTTCATTATGTTTTACAGATACACGCAGCCCCGTGGTACCCTGTGGATTACTGCGCTGGTATTGTGTTTGGTTACAAAGATTTCGCCTTACCTGGACACCGTTTTACAAGAACAACTGCTATTCGAGGTGTCAGGTGGATAACGACACAAACACCGAGTTCAGCTGTGTTGGGGGCAAAGACTGTGAGCGGTCAACATTCACACGTATGTCATAATGTTTCGCAGGTCTTGCTCCCTGCAGTGAGACAAAACACCAAAGAAGAAAACATGAAATATATGAGTTCTTCCCTACCTGCATCTATTAAACAGGCGACGTCAAACGGCACTGTCCCCATACAACTGGCTCCAGATATGTTTGTGCAGTTCACTCAAACATATATGTTTTCACTGTGCCTGAAGATCTTTTGGAACAGTTGGCTCATACTCTGTGTTTATACAGCTGGCGCATGGTCTGTGTTTGTTCTGTTGACTCCAGTTCAGCGTTTGTAGAGATGGTTCACTATTTGTGTCTGTACAACTGGCTATGGATCTGTGTTTGTATGGTGTACGTGTCCAATAACCTTGCACCTGACTATCTCTCTGATTTCGTCCCACCTAAAGTAGCAGGATCTAATGACTACAGCCTAAGGAATAGATCTAAATTACAGAATCTACATTGCAGAACAGCAAGCTATGCAAAGTCTTAAAGTTTTCTTTCTGATATTCTTGAATTCCTTGCCTACTGCATATACTGATGACAGTACATTGAATGATTTTAAAGGATGATAAAATGTGATGAAATGCATTGCAACAAATTTGATTTAATTATGGTCCTAGGTTCAACTAAATTGTGCACTGTCACCTGAGACTTGGCTCCATTGACCTCTATGGTGGCAGGTTTCAAATGTTTATATCAGCTAATCAAAATTATTCTTGTGGCTAGTTCACTATTTCTTTACTTGTACCAACTGCACTGGCATAAGAGGAAACATGTAGTTTTAATCTACACTCCATTCTTTATAAAAATGTAAATGTTACAGCAAAGATTAATTTAGAATGCTAAAAACTGTTAAAATTTCATATAAACAAACCCCTGGCAGATTTCTAATTTTATCTAAGTGCGAACTATCATATTGTCTCTCATGTATCTGATTTTTGCTTATACTGCAGCATTTTCGGAGTTGACGGCTGTGTTTTTAGAAAAATAATTACATTATTATTTACACTTGACTGTATATTATAATTGATGACATTTAATTTCAACTGGAGCCGTATTCACGTCTTTTCTTGTTTACCAATCCAGTTATACACATTTGTGAAATAAAATATGTTAAAAACAACTCTAGAATTTTGTTTGTTCAGTTGACTCCGAGTTGTTTACAGAATGCTGATTATATAGTGATATTGGGTGCATACTTTCCCATATCAGCTGACAAAGATTCGAGAAAATCGAAAAGGGCAGCAATTTTGGAATTTCTGATCAATACCCCAGGGTAGTTGTAGACAGGAGATAGCGGGCTAACTCCACAGGAAAGGAATAACATTAGTTAAATCATTGCAAGACATTTTTGTCTGGATTAAGTCAGACAAAACAACTTAGGACCTATAGAGAAACATGTATCTCTGTATTGGTTACTTACTTGAAACTTGAACTTGAAAAACTTGCCCATTACTGTAACAAATGGGGGCTGACTGTCAATATTGACCAAACTAAAGTTATAATTTCAGAAAATCACATTAACCAGTAGACATACAGTTTTTTTATAAGAATTAGTGCCACTTCAAATAGTAACAGTTTAAATATTTGTTTTTTTATTGGTTTCCAATTGTAATCATACCCAAGCTATCAAAGTGTTATCAGAAACGGGATTAAGGGTATGTAATGCTTTAATAAGTGTGATAAAAACAAATTAAACGTATAATCTTCTTCAGAACTACTAGACACAGGTGTGTTACCAGTATTACAGCATGGTTATGAGCCGAAGACCCGTCTTCGATTCCCGACATGGGTACAAAGTGTGAAGCCAATTTCTGGTGTCCCCCGCCCATTATATTGCTGGAATGTTGCTAAATGCGGCGTAAAACCATACTCACTCACTCACTCATGGTTATGAAGTATCGGGATTGTAAAAGGCTGATTGTATTGAGAGAGTACATCGTAAATTTTGTAAATTGATTCTGGGTGTAGAGGATAGTACTAGTAATGTGCAGGTATGTGGGAGTTGGGGAGAGTTCCATTGAATGTCCAACGTCAAGTATGCAATGGTTAAATATTGGTCTTCTGCAAACTGTATTTTAAAAGAAATTATACGACGACAGGTAATCACATGAACAACTGGTATTGTAGAGTTAAGTCTGTATTGCCAGCGAATGGCTTTTACCATGTGTGGTTTCACCTTGTAACGTAAATGTTTCTTCTTTTGTAAATTACTAAGGCAGCGTCTAGAAGATATTTATTTATCATCCAAAACTGGCTCCCACAGGAGATATCGCTTGGGTGAGATCAAGCGATATCTATAATATAATATAATATAATCACTAATGGCTCTGCTACTCGTAGCAGTATTTTTACACTTAAGACAATGATTATTACTGTCTACAAACGGAACAAGTTGGAAGAATGATGTAGGATGATAAACAGAATATCACCCTTGTGTCTTTTGATATCAAATATATCAACACTCGTCAATAAAAGTTTGAAATTCCCCGGCAAGCCCCGGAGTGTTAAACTTTCATCGACTCGTGTATATGTATTTGATATCAAAAGACACTCGGGTGAGATCTGTCTGATATCACATAGATATGTGTTTGTTCGCTTTGCTCTGGATCTGTGTTTACTCTAAATGGCTACATGTTGCCGTCGCGTCCACTGAATTACAGTATGTGCATGTGCTATGTTAGGAGGTGTGTCAACACACCCTGGTTTTCCTGAACTTGATGGTCTATGTCCTGATTGGTTTGGTTGGTTGGTTGTTTAACGCCGCACACAGCAATATTCCAGCTCTATGATTGCGGTCTGTAAATAATCGAGTCAGACAATCCAGTAATTGACATCATGAACATCGACCAACGCAATTTGGATACGATGACATGCATCAACCAAGTCAACGAGCCTGAATAATACATATATTTAGAATGAATACAAATCTGTCAACGATGGACAGTAAAATAACTAGATTTATCACAGATTATATTTAAAACTAGTAGATAGCCATCAAAATATAACATCATACGTAACAATACAAGATAAAAATGAGCTATTGATCGCCAGCCACTGAAGAGAGATCACCATGCTTGGGTCCATGGGGACTTACAGTACTTTTGCTACCTGCACGGACCCCAGCCATGTCTCGTTGTAATCTATCCCCAACGGTACATGTAATTGTCTATCTTCGTAAGCATTTAATAATCCAGCCAAACCAGCAGTTGATATTATGATCAACGCAGTCGGGTTACAATAACACGCATTCAGCCAAATCAACGAGCCTGACGTGTTACACGATCCATATCAATCACTTCAAGAACAGAGCAGAACATTTTTCGCTCAAGGTTTGATTAGAACTATGTACAAAATCTAAAGTTGATCACTTAAAATGGGGAACAGTGAGTGAGTGAGTATGGTTTTAGGCCGCATTTAGCAATATTCCAGCAATAACACGGCGGGGGACACCAGAAATGGGCTTCACACAATGTACTCATGTCGGGAATCGAACCCGGGTCTTCGGCGTGACGAGCGATCGCTTTAACCACTAGGCTACCCGACCGGCCCGGGGACATAATGGAGAATAGCTTCCTTTCAAGGGTCAAGGAAGTGCGTCACTTGTGTATTCACTGCCGATCTGGGTTCGTATATCATTCATGAGCAGCCTGATGTGTGTATGTGTTAGTGTGTGTGTGTGTAAGTGTGTGTGTAGGTGAGGTGAGGTGAAAATTGGGTTGAACGTCGCGTCCAAGATTATTGCACTTATTTAGCGACGTGCATGTACGTGTATGTGTTTGTGTGGCTGCTTGTACTAGTCCGGACTGATGGCGATTTATAGTGCTAGCTCACTGAGATACCATGCCGCAGTTTTAGCCCCTTAATGCCGAGCGCCAGACAGGGTAACAACAAGTACCATCTTTTAACGTCTTTTGGTATGACGCGGCCGGGCATCGAGCCCCGGACCTTCCGCTCTCCGGGCGGACGCTCTACCACTAGACCATGGAGGCGGTCGTGTGTGTCTGTGTGTCAGTGTGTAATCGTGTGTGTGTGTGTGTGTGTGTGTGTGTGTGTGTGTGTGTGTGTGTGTGTGTGTGTGTGTGTGTGTGTGTGTGTGTGTGTGTGTGTGTGAGTGAGAGAGAATGTGGGTGTGTGTGAGTGTATGAGTGTCTGAGTGTATGTGCGAGTGATGTATGTGTCTGTATGTGTCTGTGTGTGTGTGGGGTGGGGGGGGGTGGGGGGGGGGTGGGGGTGGGGGTGGGGTGCGGACATTTGGTTCAGGTCACTTTGAACAGTATTTCTGTTACGACCTGCCTTGGGGAAGGTTCATCACAAGACAATTAAGTCGTGCACAACAGGGAAAAACTTGTTGATCTATGGTGCACGTATTTTCAAGTATGAAGCTTATACTTTAAGTCGTCTTTCATAAACATGTAGGCCGCCTCCGTGGCCAAGTGGTAGAGCGGCTGCCCAGAGAGCGGCTGCACCATACCAAAAAGTCGTTAAAAGACGTTAAAAGGCGTTACCTGCGTGCGCCATTAAGGGGCTAAACCAAGGACTTCCCGGCTCGGGGTTCAGTATACGGTGTCTGAGTGGGGTTTTCATGTTAAACTGCTGTATGGTATGTCAGTGGGTTAGCACTATAAAACAGCATTAGAGGGACCAGTACAATGGGTGAGTGGGTGAGTAATATTTTAAGTCACATCGGCATTATTTCAGCCATATAGTGACTATATCAAATTTGATAATACATCAGTTTAGAATACAAACCTGCCGACAAAGGACAGTAAAAGAACTAGATTATCACAGATGAAGGTTAAAACTAGTAAATGACCATAAAACTTGACGATTCATACAATACCATGTAAAATTGGGCTATATATAACCATCAACCTAAAGGTAGGCCACCATACTCGGGACCATGGGGACTTACAGTACCTTTGCTACCTACATGGACCAAGGCATTATTTGCACCATCTCTTCAGTTACCGGTGATTGCAGAGAAGTTTAGCCAAAATTAAAACAAACAAATAATCTACGATTAAAAACCTTATATATATAAAAAAGTTTGAATGAAGTGGGCTTACGCACCCTCTCAGGGGGACAATAATTTTACGCTACTTCAATCCCCATCAAGGGTACAACCACTAACAATCTCAGGTCATAACCATATGGAACCAATTTGTAAAATATATAACTTTCTACATCAAAATATATTAATCAGTTCAATTTCTTTTAAAAATCCAAAAATTAAATGAGAGTTTATGTTAAAAAGATCCTTGAGTGATGAAACGTTGAAATATTAATCCCTTGTGATTGCAAAATCAATACAGTCAATCAGGAAATGCTTGACCGTGCACATGATTCTCTCATCACAAGAGATACAAAAACGGAGCTTCCTTCCCTTTCAGTCAATACTCGTGGGTGTATAGGGAATGTCCAATACGACATCGTCTTAGAATGACCTCTTCCGGACCAGTACAAGCAGCCACGCACGCACGCACGTCGCTATCTTGACGTTGAAGCCCATGTCACTTCACCTCCAAGTTTTTTACATGTACTCATATTTTAATGATACCTACCGTTCCAAATATTTGTGCACATTAAATACTTGGTTCTCTGAAAAACTATTTCGTTCATAAATTGTGGACAGATCCTTACCGATTGTCGTTGGTGTTGATGTTGTCCTATCGTAACACTTTTGCAGGTTTCTTGCCTTCGACAACATCTCAGCGCTTCTCTC